ACACACCCCACATCACACCTGTACACACACATTCTTTCCCCAGCATTTGCCTCCTTTCACGGCTGGAATAGAGAAATCGGTCTCTGTCCCCTGCGGTAATGGTGACAAAGGCGCCCGGTCGGCAGCTTCATCAGCGCCCTCTGGGAAGCGCAGATAGTCGCTCACCTGGCCACCAGCCGCCTGCGCTTCAGCCGGGCCTCCCGGAGCCGCTGAAAGGCCCCTTATCTCACAAAAACACTCATCTTACTGTGTCTTTCTGGTACGGAAAGAAAATCATAAATTATTGTTATGCCTGGGATTTTTTTAAAAAAGTCTCAGCCATGATTTTGTGGGGGAAGAAGTTACTCAAGAATGGGGTGGAAATAAAATCATCAGCGTGTCTGTAACAATTTTCTTCCCCATGACCTACAAACGGAAACCCAGGCTTCAGTGAAATAGCTTCGATGAAAAATTCCTCCTACATAACTCCCTTCCTAACAGGAGTAGTGGCTAAAATTTTTTAAAAATTTTACTAACATTTATTGAGAATCTACTGTGTGAAATGCGCTGTGCTAGATGGTAATATAAGCCAAGATTTTTTCTAAGCAACATGAAATCTACAAATAGTACGCAAAGGGGAAACGCATGCTAAATTCCAAAATGTTCGCTTTTTGAGAACTGTGTTCCTGTATTAAAGGTAGAAAAAGTAGAATCGTATTGCACCCCCAAATATAGCATTTGACAGCATCCATCTGTCATCAACCATTGCTATAAAAATGTCTATTTGGGTGGAATTTCAGCTATTAAATGACCTGGCCCGACACACGAGTGTGTATCACTTCTGTCAACAGTGTCTGGTGTGTGTGTCTCGGTGGGAAGAGGGAGGACAGCTGTCTCCTTGCTCTCATCATAAGCAGGTAGCCCCGGCCGGTGTGGCTCAGTGGTTGAGCATCAACCCATGAACCAGGAGATCACAGTTCAATTCCCCGTCAGGGCACAGGCTCGGGTTGTGGGCTCGATCCCCAGTCAGGGGCGTGCAGGAGGCAGCTGATCAATGACTCTCATCATTGATGTTTCTCTCTTTCTCCCTCTCCCTTCCTCTCTCTGAAATCAGTAATAAAAAAAAAAAAACATATTTAATAAGCAGGTAGCCAGGAGCTCTAAGCCAGCCAAGCCTCATGGGCACAAAGAGAAATACAAGATGGGATCCCTGTCCCGAGGAAGCACCCAGAGCAGTGGAAAGGATTAACCCACAACATGAAAGAGTGACCCATCCATGTCAAGACAGAGAAGGCTTTGTGGCTGTGAGATGGACTATATGCCTCTCATTAAATATTTAAGGATGCATCCCTTGGTACTGCTCTGATATAGTTTAAGAAAAACAGGCAGAAAATAAAGGCCAACCTTCTTAGAGAGGATTTTTGAAGTGTCGTATTGGGGGGAAAAAGAAATGTTCACAGTGAATCGTAAGAACAATCCCCCGGTGTTTTACCAGTTGTCACATGAACTCACGAGGTGGCAAGTGTCAGGGTTGACAGCAAGGACCCCTGGAGCCAGCCAGTCTGGTTTCAAATCCAGACTCCACCACCTCCCAACTCAGTGTCTCAATTTTCTCATCTCTGATGTGAGGATAGTAATGTACCTACCTCAGAGGGTTGTCATGAGGATTGAATACATGAATGTAGGGAAAGCTCTTAAAATAGTGCCTGACACAAAACACATGCTTATAGGAGTCTGTTAAAGAAATTAAATGCCCTGCTATGTTCCCTAATAGTCACTATTAGAGTTTTACCTACTCGCTTTATGTCAAACCCACTTCAAGTCTTTACCTGTGTGAAATAATATATAAAACTAAGATACAAACCTCAGCTATAGCTCTCCCTTCATAAGCTGTTGCATGCTGTCAGTTAATAGTACCTTTGATGCAGGCAATATTGAAAGCAAATACGTTGTTTTCTCTGTGGCAATGAGCTACACTGGGCTTGTCAATACTCCTGAGGACGCCCAATTGATCTACAGAGTTAATGCAATACGAGTCAAAAGCCCCCCAGGCATTTTTTTTTTTTTTTTTGCAGCAATAACAAGCTGATTTTAAGATATATATGGAAAATTAAAAAAGCGAAATGGTCAAAATCACCTTTGATAAAGGAGAAGATCTGGATGGGTCACACAACCGGATTTCAAGAATCACTATGTAAGCAACACACACACACACACACCAGCCTTCTGGTTTTGTTTGGTGTTAATCTTGCGTAGGCCAAGCCTCCTTATACCCTGTCGGCATCACTTATTCTCTTTCTTATTTGGTTCTTTAAGGAAAAGAAACTTATTTTAAGCTTATTAAAAAGCTGCAAAAATATTTCAAAACCTTCGTGGATTCCTTTTAATCAGCTTCACCAGCCTTTGCTATTTCGCCCCATTTGCTTTAACAGTCTCTCTCTCAGCTATTGAAGAGTAAACTGCAGACATCACCCTCCTTTATCTCTAAATGTTTCTGATCTACTTCCTAAGAACAAGCATTCGCTTAAATAACATAGAACAATTATCAAGATCGGAAAAGTTAACAGTAATAAAATGCTATTATCTAATCCACAGCCCGTATTCCCAAATCAGCTGTCCCAGGAATGCCTTGTTAGCTGTTATCCCCGGGTTTAATGTAGGATCATGCATTGCCTTTACTTGTCATGTTATTATTTTCTCTCTCCCCTCTCATTTTCTCAGGTTTGACTGTCTTTAAACAGAAACACACATACAATAAGGTTATGTATTGACAGGATGATGGGAATGCGCCCAGAGGTCTGCAGGAACCTAGCCCTGAATTTCTCCTGGGAGCAATGGTCCCGCATTCGCTAATTCAGTGTTTGCTGTGACGTTAAACAACATCACTTCTGTGAGTAAGGAGGCTTGACTGCTAGAGGGAACCACAACTCACAATGGTAGTTGGTTTTGAGGTCAGGGGGTGGAGAAGGAAATCAGGGGGTTTGTCATTAGGGATATTTAAGGCTGAAAACAAACATCACAAAATGTTAACTGTTATTGAGTGGTGCTAATATGGGTGTTTGTTATTATTTGCAATCATTTTAATTACCTAAAGTAAAAACCCTTACAAGACCACCATAGTAGGGAGAAAAGGGTATAAGAGGGTGGTCACCGTTAAAAGTATATCTCTACACACTACAGTGAGCATATACTGAGAGTTAAGTGTAAAATCAGCTGTGGGGTAAGCATTACTTAATTAAAAACTATAACCTAGAAAGGTGAATTACTGCTACATGGCCTCGGCTGCTCTTAACACACAACAGTCCTGCTCTGTCTCAGGACTCGCGAGATAAAGCTTTGTTGAGTTTGAAAGAAATATTATGTCAGGAGAGGCTGTTGCTTCAAATGCAGAGCATGACAATTTATTTCTGTCCAGCTTCTGATGCCAATCTACAGCCAACGTATAAAGCCTGGGTCGATAAGGAATCACATCTCCCGGAGCTTAAAATCTCTCACACACATGCAATGGGATATTCAGGTACTTTGCCCCAAGATAAAGCAACCAGGAATCAGGAAGCTACATTTCCGCCCATTTCAGTAATTAATGTAGCTATAATCTCCAAATACCAGTCCAGTCTCCCAAGCAAAATGAAAAGAATACTATTTGCCACCTGACTGAGAAAGATGAAGTGACTTGAAATCCCTAGGGGGAAAAAGAACCGTTCGTGCAAAGTATCCTTTTAAGTAAACTAAGGGTAAAAGCAGACTTGGAGATGCTATCACTAAGTTAATGGAAATGGGGGGAGGGCTATACAAGCAAGACCATCTACACAATCCTTCATTTCAATCTAAAGAACGAATTAATTTATGCTAAGAGCTAACTAAACACAGAAAAGTTTGCTCAAATGCTAATAGATCCACATTTGTTAAATAATCAGAAAGTATGTCAAGAGCTATCCTTCCACACTAGATTTCAGAAGAGACTCAATCAATCAGAAGCAGAGAGGGAGGCTGTAATCTCAGGACCCGAAGGTGCTGACGGGTTAGGGCTTGAGCACAGATGTCTCTTCCATGAAGTTTCTACAGTGCACCATACAACCTGGTGTCCCCTGCACAGGAGAGCACTGCGAACGGCACGTCTCAAAACCCGTTTACTCTCTGACCTGTCACAACAGCCTGCAGCCAGGCCTTCGGGACTCGCGCTTTAACCGGCGCAGGAGCTCAGGCACCAAGAGACTCATGAACGGAGCGGACTCAGCCTCAGGGACTCGGATGCCCCCACCGTTTCCTTCACATCCTTCTGAGCTTTTGTGATGCCGTAATTCTCCGAGATGGGGAAGGTAGGAGGCTGAGTAGGATTCCGTTTTGGTAATGGTTTAAAACGCAGTAGCTGCCCGTATTGCTGTACTTCTGGTGAAAACCAAGCACACGGCAAATTAATGACTGTTCTGATCACACCCTGATTTTTATCCGGCAGGATCACAGAGTGACCTGCCTATGACAGCAATAATCTTACTGGGCGAGCTGAGGGCACCCCCAAACTCCAGGCTGCTTCGGTGAATCCTTAACTGAACACCCTTACCTCATATAAAACTGATTCTTTTCTCTTTATGAATTTTATCTTTTCATAAACTTTGTAACTGCAAAAATGACCTCTAGTTCAAGATAATTCTTTCCTGTTATTGACCATGTGAGTCAAAGGGCTTGACTTTTAATTCAGTTTCCTTTAAACAGCTGATGCCTGCTGAGACCCAACCACCTTGCTGTCATTGGTGTCTCAATAGCATTTTCATAGCATGGTGACCACCTGCTCTTAGAGTCACCTCATTCTTTCTTTGGGCCTCAAGTCACACAACCATTTCTTAAAAATAAGGTCCGTACTCTACTGTGAAAATGGAAATTAATAATAATAAAAAAACCACACACTGAAAGAGGGGAGAAAGAATTCATGCTTACATTTCATTGTCACTGATGGAAACTGGTATAGAAAAATGCAGTGTAGCATTAGGCAGGTGTATAAAATACTGGAAACTCCAACAATAAAACATCTCTACCAGTAAGTGGATTTATTGACATAACTGAACATAATAATGGATAGCATTTATTCATTTCCCACTGAAAGACTCTCCAGTCAATCTGTTTTTACATAGATCCAGGCATTAGGCATTTTCAGGGATGCTCTGCAGTTAACAGGGTGGGTCGTGGGAAAACCAGAGGTCTTTTCCAGACTTTCAATGGGACTCAAAACTACACAGCTGTGCAAGAGAAACAGCTAAGAGATGCAATCGCTCGATGGATGAAAAAAGCTGGGAACAGAAAAGGAGCAAAATAGCCCAAAGGTTGCCAATAAGAGCAAACAACTACACCTCTCCCATGTACCAGCAAACTTGGAATCTGAAATGAGCTCTGGCAGCAAACTAAGGACAGTCTATTTCCTGTGGTTTATTAAGTTTTGGCCCCACCACGGATAAGATTGCCAGGAAAGCAGCTGTACTTTAAGTGGTCTGGACATTTATTCATCTGAACATAAACAAAGATCAGTTCATTTAGATCCCTGGCTCTCCACTCAGCTGTGGGGACAAGGGCAGGCCTGGCTCGGTGGAGGCCAAACATAAAAGGGGTGGACTGGGGGTGAAGGACCCCTGGACTGTGATAGATTCCCTGAGTCATCAGGACCCTCAGGGGCTTAAGGCCCTACACAGGAGATGCACTGTTAGCCTCAGCACCAATGCAGTGGCCTCCACGACACCCCACTGCCAGTGAACCACAACCACAGTAAATGCAACTGTGTACACCCTCTTGGTGACCACACTTTTAGACCACATACAAAATCATTAATGTAAACCAAGGCACTACATTTAGTGATAAACATGTACTTCATAAATATCAGGAAACGCAAGTATCTCAAATAATTGAAAACAACAGCAAAATAAAGGAGCCTAACCCTAAGTTTAACACAAAAACATGGAAAAGAAATACTGCAATTATTAACTACAAGATAAGATTTAATAACACCGTAAAACACAGGGTAGTGGAGGGACTAACTTGCAAAATACAGAATTATTTCACAGTGAGGTTTAAGTACTCATAACAATCTTCTGGTTTTAGTAGAAAGACAACCACCGATGGACATTTTTTCACATTTTTTTCCAATAATTTCTTCCCTTCTACTATTTCATATGGAGTGAGACAGTAATATGACCAAACACACACTATTAACTGACAATCACCTTTGCTCCCCTATTAGGAAATGACCTTTATCACTTCGCTGTGCAACTCTGGACAAGTAGGGCACAGTCAGCTGCGTGTCACTGATAAAAACATGCAAAGTAGCACACTGCATTTTTTCCAGCCTGGATGGATACAGTGCCAGAGATGCGCTAAGCAAACTAGAACACTGGGGTTCCCTACGGGTCATCAGTCAATACGCATTACGTACATTCTTTGATCAAGTCTGGCATTGAAATTTCCTTTTCCATCTATAGGTTTAAAAATTACAAAGCCACAGGAGCAACCCTGACAGAGAAGTCTTGCACACGTAGCCTTCTCCAGAGAACGTGTGTAATCTTAGTTAACCTCAAGGTCAGCAGACATACTTGTGGTGTTAATGTTAAAAAGAAAATTGCTGAACCACTCGGCTCAACTAAAATAGTCCTTGAGTTTGTCAGTTTGTTAAATGTCAGAGCTCTTCACATTGTTGAACAAAAAATAGCGTCTCTAATCATTTAAACGTTAAGTTATCCTGAATGTTCTATTAACCACCATAAAAGAGTTTCTCGGTGAATGTGTTAACCTTGACCACCTGCTTACATCACCCTTCTTGGCAGAAACCTCCAGACCTGTGGAGGCCCTGGCCAAGCCTCCTTGGTAATGGTAATAATTTCCTTTTTCCTTAAATAGAACCAAAACACTTTTTTTTTTTTTTTGACACTCAACAAATAAAAAGTTTGTATCCAAATCTCTTTCTGGACATGTTGGGGGCACAACCCCCTATTTCCACCCCCAAGAGGGTCGGGCTACTGGATTCCAACGCCACAAAAGGCAATCTCAGAGCTTCGCCAAGGTCTCCGCGTAGAGGCCTCCCACCTCCGGACCCCGCCATCCATGCGTCCCCCTGCTCGTGGCCTTGACCACCAAGTACCATCCATTTACTTCACCAGTGAGTGCTGGGAATGGGGGGGGGGGCCAAATTGGCCGGCTGTCCCCTTTGGCCTCCCTGGCCAAAAGCGCAAAAGGGCAGAAGGAGACGGTCTGATAAAATGAGAGCTTCCCCTGAGGTGGGTTGAAGGGCCCCACGGACAGCTGGCTCCTCAAGGTCAGTGCGTGGTCTCCGCGCCCCCGCAGGCCCGGACCTAGTCTGCAAATCGCTGCAGGAGATGGTCCTCCCGCCTCAGGCTGCCCGCCCCGCCGCTGCCCCCGCTGTCCATGAAGCGGTCGCAGGGGAACTCGATGAGGTCCGCCTCGCTCAGCGCGCACACGGTGGTGCGCGGCCGGTGCGACTGGAACCCCGAGAAGTCGGCGGACACGCCGGTGCCCATGGAGCGCAGCGGCCGCCGGGTGGAGTACATGTGGCGGACGTGGACCGGGGCGCCGCCCTTCCTCCTGGCCCGCAGCTTCCTCCGCAGCCAGCGCGACGCCCAGGCCGCCAAGGCCAGCAGCACCAGCAGCGCGTTGACGGCCAGCAGGGCCAAGGTCAGCAGCTGGTAGTCCACGCCGCCGCGGCTCCCGGGCTCCGGCAGGGTGACCAGCCCGGCGCAGTGGTCCCGGGGGGCCACCGGGCACACCCGGCCCCCCAGCACGCCCTCCACACACACCAGATAGGGGGTGTCCCCGCGCAGCTCGCGCAGCGTGGCCGAGTCGCTGCGCTCGGGCAGGTAGACGAAGCGGTGGAACTTGGGCTGCTGGCCGAAGCGGTCGAAGAGCAGGCGGAAGCGCGCGCCGCCCAGCGGCCGGGG